CTTGGTGGTAGCACTTGAATGATGGATAAGTTTTGTAGTGGCAGGTGTAGCTCGCTCTTGCACGGTCTGAAATGTTTCATCATGTTTCGCGATAAAAAACTAAGTTAGGCAGGCGTGAGCCGATGTATCATGACACTCGCAGACAAGGCTTGTAAGGATCCTGGTTAATCTTCGTGATGTATGATGCCTCAGAGACTTTGTCGTTCTCTGAAGGAGCAGAAAGAGGCTGGCAAGGATGACGAAGAGGCAGGCCTTGCATGCCTTGCAACATCATCCTTTGCTGTCCTTGCAGCGAAGCCACATGGGAGGATGGCAAGAACTCACTCCTGTATGTGCAGCCTTGCACTTGGAAGCACAGATGGCAGCAGGTTTGATCTCTGAAGCTTCTTTAATTCGTTATGGACTTACGGACATGTGAAGCTTTTCTTGAGGCGAGCGCAGTCGAAGCAGGAGCGAGCAATGGAGCTGAAGCAGAAGATGCCTCAACCTGTCCCGACCCTTAGGATCTGCATGCAAGCTCCACGACAGCTTGTCGGCATGCCTGAAGCACCCTTAAGGACAACTCACGCCAGAGCCGCAACGCTGGGCCGTCAGAGAACTGTGCTGCTGCTGCTGCTGCTGCTGCTGCTGCTGCTGTGCATGTTGACAGCGGCCCGCAGCGGCCCTTGACCTGAGGCCGGTGTTAACTTGTACATCAAGAACTTGGACGAGAACACCGATGATGCTTCGCTTAAGGACCTGGTGTTGGCTTGTGGCTTCGGCTTGTGCCAAAGATCTTGCCGCAGGCGTTGTTCGATCAGTTCGGCACGGTCACCTCAGTGGCTGCCATGAAGGCTCTTTTCTTACCAGCACCAAAGCTCAAAGCACCCACCAGATACAGGAAAAAGCGGGCCAGCTGTTGGCTACTTTTGTTGTTGCGCTCCCGCAGGATGAGCGTGGGCAATGCAAGGGCTTCGGCTTTGTCTGCTTTGCTTCTCCCGATGAAGCGACCAAGGCCTCACAGCTGCTTCACAACTATCGGGGTGTGACAACGTGAGTGAAACAGAGTGTCTCCACAGGCCGTCACAGAAATGCACTTGAAGGTCGTCAAGGGAAAGCCCTTGTACGCCGGGCTCCTATGTCCTATGGATTTCCACAACATATTTTCCACTCTTTGGGGGCTTCTGTTGTCCGAAGGTTGGATTGGCCGAGAAGCGCGAGGCCAGGTGCAAGTAGGTAGTCGGCCGAAGAAAAAACAGCGACAAATACTGTGGTGCGTCCCTCACAGCGTGCAATCACCACCTCTGTGCAGGTTCGCGCCGAGCGGCTCCGCCAGCGTTACTCTCCTGCCGCCGGCAAGGGCGGCAAGGGCAGCTGGAACGAGAAAGGCCGGGGAGAGCCTCCTTTGCTTTTGTCTGGAAAGAATGTGTCGAATGTTTGGCTGAGGCGGTCCCATGGGAGGTAAAGGCGCTGGACCTGCAGCAAACTTGCTTGCTGAAACTTATCCATGGCTGCTGGTTGCCAGGCGGAAAGGGCAAGGGGCCGATGGGACAGATGTATGGACAGCAAGGAGGCCTTCCAGCCATGTTGGCAGCACAGCTGTTGATTTGATTTAGCTGAGCATTTATGTTTTGATGCTTGCCAGGTTGCGGCATGCAGCAGATGTATCCGTCAATGCCCAAGCTATCTTTGCCTGCCAGATAAAGATTCGGTTCATCAGTAGCCGTGTCTTGAAGCTCAGCGCAGTCTTGGAGAAGTTTGCAGTCTTAGTCTGTCACTGAGGATGGGTATGCAGATGGGCATGATGGGCCAAATGGGAAAGGGCGGTGGACCGCAGGCCTTTTAGCATCTGTGTGATCGAGCACTGGGGAGCTTGATCTTGCTTCCTGGTCTGATATCATCCCAAACTGTGAGGGCATGATGGGACCGCAGATGGGCATGATGGGCGGCAAGGGCATGCAGGCCTTTTGCCTGTTTTCTGCAGAGGCAGAGCCTTGGTCACTAGTATCTGCAGGGCCCTGGAGCCATGCCTATGGGTGCCATGGGCCCCATGGGCAAGGGCAACGTTCCCATGGTCGCAGGAAAAGGAATGATGGGACCGCAGCTTGGCAGAGATAAGGGCCTTGAGGGTGTAGAAATGTGCAGAACGGATGTTCGTCCACGGAGTGGCTGTGACCTTCAGGATGCCTGGCATGACGGGTATGGGCCCGATGGGGCCCATGGGCATGATGGGACCCATGATGCGTCCACCAATGCAGCCCATGCCGATGATGCGCCCAGGCAGGAGCCATTCTTGAGTTTGCGCTCCTGTAGTTTTGATGGAGGGAAATCTTTCCGCGACATTTGGTCTGGCACGCAGGCATGCCGCCAATGCCACAGCCGGCACAGAACGCCCGGCCTCCGGCACCACAGCCTGCAGCCCCTCAAGCAGGCAACCTCGGTGGAGGCGACCTGATGGAAAACCAAGCTTACGGGAGTAGTAGTAGGGTAGGAAACAGGAGGGTAGACTGTTTGCAGGTGGCGGCGGCGGCAGCAATCAGCCCTTGACTCCTGCAGGGCTTGCGGCAGCCCCTCCGGCAGTGCAGAAACAAATCATCGGAGAGAGGCCAGCTACACCCACCAGTCTGAAGTCTGCTGCAAGCAAGTTGCTCATGGGACGCAGGCTGTACTCCCAAGTGGCCAAACAGCAGCCTGAACTTGCGGGTAAAATCACTGGTCCCCTGACCGCAAGACATAAGAAGGTCGAGATTTCAAGGTAAGTGCCTTGCAGCTTGTTTCGGCAGCTAACCCAGGCATGATGCTGGAGCTGGAGCCAAAGATTGATGATGATGTTTTCAATCATTGGATCAAGATCCTAAAGATTACTGTTTTGTTTCCGAGGATGGACAACTCAGAACTTCTCATGCTGCTTGATTCTGAGCAGCAGCTGAAGGGAAAGGCTGAATTTGAATGAGTTGCCAAGACTGGGAGCTGGCTGGTGACTATGCTTGCCCAGATGCTTTGACAGGTCGACGAGGCTTTGCGTGTGCTTGAACAGGCCAAGTAGGCCGAGAAAGGCCGTATGCACAGACCATCTTGGTGAGCCCTTGTAGTATGCTGGGTCTGTGCCAGTCAGCAAGTTGCCGAGGCCATTCATCCCCGTCTACAGGCAGAGATAGACTCGTGCAATTTTCTGGAACGTCTACCTTCATGCAGTCAGGCTTCGTGAGAGCCATTTGGCGAGCTCATACAAATGGGCTTGAGGCAATTTGCAAGGTCCATATACTGGACATGAGGCATGCTGTGCAAGGGCCCGCAGCTCCCGCTATATAACTTGCTACATTTGGTCCAGTGAATCTTGCATTTGCATATCACAGTTGCCAGCAGAGAGGACGCAGAGCAACGCAACTACCGCCATCAAGAGCTTGAGTCTAGTCGTTGAAGTCGTCTCTGCGGGTGATGATTGCTGATCCCAGATGCAGAAGCAAACCAGACACATTGCAACTCTCTGCCCTGCTTTGCATGGGCCTAGACTCGACTACGCACATGTCAGTGCAACTGGTCATTCTAGTATATACCTCGGCAACGCTTCTACGTGGATCTTGCAAAGCTTTCACTGCTAGTTGAGTTGCTGCCGATGTTGCTGCCAAGCGCGGTTTTATCAGAAGCTCACTCGCCGGGAATACTCAATGGTGAATCGCTTGTTGGAAGCAACATACAGTGATCGAGTTTTGGAGTTGTCTCTCAAGCACTCCAGCACAGCAACTTGTGGGGCATTTTGAGTTGCCTTCGCACGGGCACGCAGTCTGCACGGCCTCCAAAACTCGTGGATATGACCAAAAGTACTCTCAGGAGCAACGGAGGATCTGCCCAACGGGCTGTTTGGCCCCGACATGGACGTGGCAATGCTCTCCCTGAGCTCAACCGTGTACTTTAGATTCAGCTTTCAGAGATATCTTCACGAGACTGGGCCGGAGTGCTGCGGAGATTAAACAGCGGCGCGGACTGCAATGTTGCAACATCATGTTGCATGGCGTTTTCCCTTTGACCTACCAAGGCTTCTCAACCTTGGCAATACCTGCTTCATGAATGCCGCTTTGCAGTGCCTGACGCCTTCAACTGAGCTCTGGAATTCTTAGCTTGCTCCTTCGTGCAACCAGAGTTGTCCAGCTTCAGCAGGGATCAATGAGGCACACGCACGGCATGCAGAAGTACTTCCGTCATTGCGAACATGCGTTTTCGTCTGGGCCATGTAGAAGATCAACACTGCTTGCCTGGCACTTTACCAAGCTTCAGGCCCAGAGCTCAAAGCAGTCGACAGAAGCTGCTCATGGCCTTCGCGCACTGGTTTGAGCAAGACTGGGGTAGCCCGGCAAAATTGCGCTACTGCTTTGAGCTCATTGCTCATTGTTGATATTGCGCGTCTCAGGCAAGAATGTGTCAGAGACACAGCTTGGGGCTGGCTGCAGTTTTTGGTGTCGGGTGAGAGATTGCCTCTTAAAGAAGTCACAGCAAGCGGGCTCTGAGGTCTGCACCGTACCACTCTCCCGAGGACGTGCTGCGGGCAGTGCAGCAGCCGAGCCCTTAACTTCAGATGTTTGAAGTTCAGAGGGCTTCAGAGGGCCTTTCCTAGTCCTGGTTGGGTTTGGCATGCGCACCATTATACTGATGCGACCTTTGATCCTTAGAACTTTTTTGAGGGTTGGGCATCTTTTGTACCTCCCACCCTTCTCGAGCAATGCCAGTAGTGCTGGCACCTCACTTCTGGTCGCGCTTTAGGCAGGCTGTTGCGGCTTATTATGCATTGCCTCTGAGTGTTGTAGACCCAAGTTTGTGCTTTCCTCGCCGTGACGTTCAGCTCGCCCACTTGGAGAAACAGGGCATGTTGCCTTGGAAGGGTCTGCCGCATGTGTATCTGGATGTTTTCCAAGGGTGGCTCCTCAATGTATTCATAGGATCTCAAGGGTCTACGGCATGGTGTAAGCTGGGCAGTACATGTGTGAAGGCCAATGAAGGTAGCATGCAGCATGATGGTCAACCCAGTGGTGCGCAGGCTGAACCCCACCTTTCAGGGCTATGCGCAGCAAGACTCCCAGGACGCGGCTGCGAGTAATATTGGATTGGCTTGTGTTCAACTTTCACGGGCCATCGCGCATGCAGGAGTTCCTCCGGTGCGTTCTGGACAACATCCATGAAGAGCTAAGGAGGAAGGTGTGCGGCGCAAAGCTATGATCGCGCGGGAGGAAGCTTCACAGTCGGAATGACGTGCAGAGCATTTGTATCATGCTCCAGGCCCGACGAGCCCTACGGAACTCAAGCGCACTCAAGCGAGAATGGTCAGTTCCTGAGAAAGCAAAGGAGATCATGGAAGTGAAGAGCTGCACGCAAAGGCACGGCCTCAGCAAGTGAAGCTGGGGAGACCCACGTGCAAAAGCTGAGTTCAGGACTCTCGATGTCACGGTAAAGTTGAGAGGTCTTTGTACATGCACCCAAGACATTGTTGATGCTGAGAACGTTAGAAGTAGGAGAAAAAGGCAACAAGAGGACAAAACGTGCAACAAACAAAAGAAACGCACAGACAATCCGACTTCCCTGTTTTTCTGGTTTCCTAGCCTTTTCCAATGTTCCGTTTTTTCCCGAGGTAGGCATTTTACGGCCTTATAGATGTTACCACGCTGCAAAGCACTTCGCGGCACGCTGGCAAAATAGTTTTGCAGTTGCCTGGTGAAATCTTTCAGCTCTGACATGTGTTCTCTATTCCTCATTCATTTGCATTCTGGTTTAGGGAAGCCAGTCGATAGCGTCACAAGTCAGCTGTGCAAAGGTTTCAGGTCTGTGAAGAGAGAAAGCATTTTGGTTCGTGTAAAGTCAATCAAATTTTGCAGCTTCCGTCAGTCCTAGCTATTCTCTTATACAAATCTTATCAAAATTCAGCCACTTTTTTGGAACAAGCCAGAGGCTGAAAAGATGGTTGCACGAGTGTGGTGGTGCAAATGTTATGGTCGAGCCCCCGCAAGCCTTGCATATCTCAGAGTCGCAGTTCAGAGCGGAAGGAGGTCATCAGGTGCAACAGGGGCCGAAGGGCACTAGTCAGAGTAATACGCAAAGCCATCGAGGTGATTTGGCTGATGTGGCCCGTGCTGATGACACATTCGCTCGGTACATCTGACTGTCATTTGCAGGAATTCCTTCCCCAGGTGGCAAATGCTGGAAACTTCTAGCGCATGGAACTTCATTGGGATAAGTTTCAATTGCTACAGGTACAGGGTCAAGCTTCAATTTCGACTCCCACGGATGAGCGTGCCAAAAACCGGGCATAGACAACTTGGGATCTGTTGTCCAAAAGTGTCTACCCCAGCATGAGCTTGGTGGGAAAATTGGCAAAGAGGGACTTTTTGGACCCGAAATAGTCTGCCCCGAGCCCAGGAGATTGAAATCTACAAAGCTCTTATCGAGTCGAAGATGATGTACTCCCTCAGTTGTTTGTGTCTTTCTTCTGCTGATGGTCCGAGGCTGAACGGCTTTCAGCACCGCTGCTTACAAAGTATTCTTGGCATCCCACCAGCGTTGAGTTCAAGAATGCCCAACACGGAGCTTTTGCACAGAACATAGCACCCTGCTGCCATTGATCTACTTCTGAAACGGCAGCTCCTACTTTTTGGTAAAACTTGGAGAGATCCGCACTCGACCATCTGCTGCACGTTCCGGCTATTCCAGTCATGCGAGCCTTCTTTATGCTTGAAACAGCACCCAATAGTCATTAGCAAGCATTTTATGAAAGCCTTTCGATGTTTTCAATCCCACAGTCGTCATTAGCAAGTATTTTATGAAACCTTCTTGATGCTTAACAATTCATATAGACCTCGGCCTATCAGAACCCTGATTTCACGGTCCTCCCCGAAATTTAGATTCTTCGCCGTCTTAAATCCGTGATTCCACTACTTCGAAACACATTTTGCTCCTCTGCAGCATGGGCCGCTTTCCTTGACATCTTCAAAAGCTCAGGTGTTTTGGGAATTCCATGTCCCCAACCAACTTTTACTATCGCAAAGCGCAAGGTGCACGAGTAGGCGTGCCACTTTTTTTTGTCTCATTGTTTTTGCAGTCCCAGCCTTTCATATGCTTTTCCCATCTTTTCCCACTTTTATTCGAACATCTGGAGAACGAGGAACCAGGCAGAAAAACTGGGCAGCCTGTGAAAAAACGGGGAAATCCATAATACTTGCAGTTAAGATAGGAAAGTCGAGGAAGCCTATTGATTCTCCAAATTTTCACAGTTCCCCCCTTTCACTGGAATTTTCACAGTTTTTCGACATGATTGGTCGATTTTCCGATTTCTTCTCACAATTCCTTTGTGTGGATTCTTATTTTAAAATTTTCAAAACCTTGACTTCTGTTTGTCATTTCCTTTTCTCTTTCTCGTAGCTAAAACACGACCAGGTTTTCCACCTTTGCATATGATTTTTTTTGTCAAATCTAGAGGCTTCTTTTCCGGGCTGGACTCGGTGCTCGCCAGGAGCAGAGACACCTTCGACGACGGACTTTCCCGCATCTGGAGGCTTGCTGTCTGTGTACAACACGCGCGGCAGCTGCAGAATCTTTCATGGTGACGCCAGTGAGTAGGGGGGATGCGATTCAACGAGGTTCTTCGGCCGCGCAGCAGCTCATTCAGCCTCGATCTTAGATTAGCCAGGCTGTGGATCATGAAATGATTCTGTGGTAACTCTGGGCAGTGCGCGCAGGTTCTGCCAAGGGCCAGAGAGCAGCACAGACATGGGAGAGATCAGGCGAGGATTTTTCCGCTCTTCATCTAATGTTGGGTTCCTATGACCAAAGCGAAGGGAATGGATCGAACTTCTGTGCAGACGGCAAACACACAGGGGGGATGGAACGGAACGATTCGTTTTGGCCGCAAATGACAAAACATTTGAGGCTAAAAGGAGCCTGTTGGGGGGCACTTCGGATAAGTTTTCCCGAGATGGAATTACGGCATGAGGTATAAAAGCAGAAGCCCCGGTAAGAACGAATGCGATGTTGACTTTCGCTGGGATTGCAAGTGCCCCTCCTAACCTGTCATTCTGCAGGTTATCCTCCACTTGCTCTGAATCCAGGCAGATGGATCCCATGGGTGCAGAGCTGTTTCCTAGCTTCCGATCACTTGTGGCGGGTATGCATGCAGGTCCTCTGATAAGGTGGACGGATTGTCTGCCTCTGGCCGCAATCTTACATCATCACCCCAAGCGCTCATCAAAGACTTTTCTACCCTTGTGAGCGTTCACTCGAGTAGCGCTGTCCAAGGCCAATCCAGCTTGCATCGCAACCACTCGCAAGGCATCTCGTATCTTCTGATGAAGCAGTGCAGCACGTGATGTACTCATAAAAAGGTGTAGGCAAGTATCTTCGTGGATCATGTATACGTTTTTCTATAGGCATTCTATAGGCATGTCATATTGGGTGTACATCTACTTGTGAAGCCGAGGCGGAGCAGAGAGCTCCTCCCAAACAGAGCCAAAGACTCACTTCGTCTCGAGCCCATATCTCCAGAGCGCATGGCTTTGCATAGAGCAGAAGATGGGCCGATCCCTCTGACCGTGATGCAAGGAATCAATAATCTCTGAGCTTTTCCAGGGCAAGATTGTATCTTGTGCCTTGCGCTTAGTTTCCTCTTTGGCTGGTCAGATTCAGTGCTGCTCTGACGCCTGCAGGTCCGATGTCTTGAATGCAAGCAGATATCAAGGCCCGTGTTGCAAAGTGTAGCACATATTATTGAGTATGCAGATGGCTGTCAGCTCGTGCGGCTGCTCCGCAGGACGTCAGAAGCCGTCTACGATGTCTCTGTGCCCATTAGTGATTTGTCAAACATGGTTAAGACAACGCCCCATGTTCTCTCACTCAACGACGGTTCTTCGTACCAGCCATTCCAGAGTCACTTGGCAAGACAGGATAAGACAGGAAAGTGCATCATTGGACCGCTAGCACAGCGAAGGAGTCTGTGGAGTAGTCTGCCAACATGTTTGTCGGCTAGTCTGTTATTCCCTGTCGGCCTGTAGAGACCGCAAAAGGAAGCCGGCATTGTGGCACTGCACCACACAATTTGCTGCCTAAATAGCTGTTATGTGATCAAAGGTAAAGCTTCCTGTGGCCTTTCAACTAGGTACCAATACCGAACGCAAATGAAACAGCGGCTTCCGCCAGCGATGGTTCGCCACTGCCAAGCACTCAGGGTTTTGAATCTAGGTAGGTAACATGAATGGGCTTTCATGCGCTTTGAGGTCTTCTGTCAGTTCATCACCCAGCCTGCAAAGACAAGGGTCACGAGCCTATTCAGGACGCACCATGTTTGGTGAGTTTTCCTCAGTACAGGTCCGGTGGGTTGCGGAGCTCGTCCTGGTCGGGTGTTCTGAACTCTGTCGGTGGCAAGGCCGGAGCTGTTTTTTTGAAGAAGGATGTTTAGTATTGTTTAGTGTTTCCCACTTCAGGTGAAAAGCTGGTTCTACGTCAGCTACCAAGAAGATGACATGTTGCTTTGGATGCTTCTGCGACTGGCCAGCTCAGGACAAAGGCGTCCATTTGACAGACTGTCTTCGGAGATATTGTGCGCCAGAATACCTTGGCGGCAAGGACTCGTCTTCGAAGCCTGCTGTTTTGAGGCATTTACAGCCTGAGTGCTGGTCACACCTGTTGCTAAGAGCCGCAATTGTGCCAGAGTCGTCTGCAAACCACACCATGCCTAGAGAGTAGAGATGCAGTGACCCCATCAGGACCAGTACTTCTGCGAGCGATGCAAGCGAAAAAACGACTGCGAAAAGCGCATGGTCTTTAAGGACAGGACATATGCATTAGGCAAATTTGTACGTTTTCAGGCCTGCAAGAACAGTTCAGCGCAGGAGCTTCCTGAGGTTCTCTGCATTCATCTCAAGCGCTTCAGATTTGATAATGCTTACGGCTGGTCAGAGCCCTATGTGGGAGAGATGGTGAGGTAGCTTGTGTATAGTGCAGTTGAATGAGCCTTTAGATAATCTTTGTCAAGGTTCAATGGTGCCAAGAACTCTCGAGTGGTGACCTTCCCTGTGGTCCAGCTCCAATTTTTTTCCAGCAACTTCTCACATCGCAGCCTCTGCAGCTGTTCTAATTACCTCCTGTCAGCCTGAGACATCTCACTTGGACATGTCGCCCTTCATGGAGGAGGTGCCAGCCCAGCGCGGACCCCAATGTGCTAGCTGCTAGCTCTGGTAGCGCAAGTCTCCTCTCTGTGGCACTCCGTGGACTGGCCACATGGGAACAGAAGAGAGGGGCAGCCAGGAGTGGCGCACAATCGTGTTCTGGAGCCTCCATGCCTCAGAAATTAGGTTGTAGATTGATGTTGGCAATCTGACAGGGATGGATCTGTTGCCAGCAACAGCCTCCAAATCAGGCAGTGACCAGGGTAACATGTTGCCCTTTGTTAGAGTTTGCAGCCAGAACGAGAATTTACAACCGAATGGATATGTTGTAACCTGTGATGTGTCCGGAGCGGAGAATTTACAACCAGAGCATCATGTAGCTTCTCAGACTTGATTTTTTTGTAGGATGATTTCCGGAACTTGAACGGTTGACTAAGGGGCGTTGTGGAGCCCATACTGGTAATAGGGATTTTACATTTGGCGGGGTATGAAGCCCATACTGGTGATTTAACACGTTTTATGGGGGGTGTGAAGGGGTAGCGGTAGTAAAGATTTCACGTTGAAGGAGGTGCTCATTCCCATAATGCCAATTAGGATTTTGCATTCTAGGGGGTCGCAAATCCGTACTCGTAGTTGGGATTTCACAGCTTTTCGGCTCATGAAACCCATAATCGAAGTGGGGATGTTGAATTGGAAGGCGCTGAGAAAGCAGTCAGAGTTTTCACGTTGTCGGCTTTTTGTTGCATTCCTGGTGGCAGCTAGGATTTTGCAACTAAGAGGCATTATGGAACCCATGCAGGTGCACACATTGCACCTTCGCATCTCACGAAGGATTTGGCACTTAGAGGGGTATGAAACCCACACCAAGGACCCCAGATAGGGGTTTATGATTTTGAGAGTATATCAACGAACTCCAGGGTCCCTCAAAGTACACGGGCAAGCCCCAAACCCTAAACCCGTCTAGTCTGTCGACCTTCCTATATACTGCTCAAGAATATCTATATAAATAAATAAATATATATAATCAAGCCGTAATTTCAGGATAAAACGTACTTACAGCGTTGCAGGATGTTTAGCCGCTGCTGTAGGGCTTTGCTGGGGGCAGGGTGGGGGCTTAGGGCTGCGCCGGGAGGCGGGCCCTGCAATCCCACCTTGAGGGAGTGGCAGGGTGGGGCAGGCAGGCCCCCACAGCGCCCACCTCGGTGCTGCAGGAGTAGGAGATTAGGGCCAACTTCTATGTCTTGTTGCTGGTGCTATTCTAGATTGGGGCTAGGGCCCAACATACATGGGCTTCCGCTGTGGCACCAATTTCGCCCAGTAAGTCTGGGGTCTACACAAGTGATATCAGGCTATGCGGGTTCATATCTATATTGGCCTGTCATCCCCCAGAACTGCTAGGTGTAAATCTAGGTCGATTTGTTCTTCCGGGTAAGCTCGGGGTTTCTACCTGCAGGAAAGCAGGAAAGGGTGATTACCAGTTACTACCAAAGCTAAGTAGGCCTCTCAGGGACCCCAAAGAATCCCTGCGCAATCCCAACAGTAACGACGCTAAATGACAGGTTCCTGGAAATGAAATCCAGGGATCGTTTTTGTAAGGGTCGTTCATATCGCATGATCCATTTCAGTTGCATGTCAGATGTGATAGGGATTTGTGATGGGATTTAGCTGAGGATCCCTTTGACTTGAAAGGACATGATCGGTCCGGAGAGGAGAAAGGTGGTTGTAAATTCTCCGTTCTGGTTGTGTGTTCTCCGGTCTGGTTATAAATGCTCTTAACTTCGGACGGGTGGAAGGTCTTGTGCAACCGGGCTGCTGGGTGGGCTTGAAGCAAATGTGCCATACACATTTTTTTTGAAACTTGCCACGCCATGTCACGGTTTTGGTGTCTAAACACCAAAACCCCAAACAAGTATGAAGTTGACCTTGAACCGAGGCCAATTGAGTACAGGCCAGGCTATCAATGCGGCCAAGGCTGCTATGATGATCAAAAGTTTATTGTTGGTGCGCAGGCTGATCGGCCTGATTCAGCACATTGGCTCCATGGGTGGTGGTCACTACATCTCTTATTGCCAGCACAAGAGGAAACCTCAGGCGAGGCCAGAGACAGCTGCCTTTCTTGGCTCTCGAGTGCTTGTGACAGCAGCCAAGCAGGACTGGTACGAGTTCGACGATGTCCAGGTAACTTGCGTGACCTCTGAGCAGGACTCCTCCTCACAGCCATCCTAGCTGCCGGCCAATACCATGCATTCTCGCAGGTTGAGCGGGCAGAGCCTTATGTTCTGTTTTACCAGCGAGCTCAGCTCTGAGACTGACAGATGGGCTAAAATCTGGTTTTTGTCCGTACAGCTGCTATGCCGCTGTGCTTCATGGTTTAGCAGCAGAGTTAGCCTTCTGATCTCACGCGTGCTGAGGTGCCATCCAAAGCAGCCAAACGTGACAGACAAACCTTCAAGCATGATATGCGCTGTATCCAGGAGAGGTTGAGGGCCGGGCTTGAGTTGTGCAGTGAGTTTTTGTGATGCAAGCAAATTCAAGCTCAACACTGCAGAGTATCAGTATCAGGAGCAGGTGAATCACTACTTGATTTCCCAATCGACAAGCTCTTCCTCCAGGCTGGCCAGAATCGGGCTCGCCCGTTTCATGAAAGAAAATCTTGCCTGTCAACGTAGGCCTGGCAGATCCAGCGAGGAGCGTAGCTTGATGTCGTGAGTTGTTGACGGGCCACGGTTCATGCCTCATGATATCAAGTGCTGTTGGTCTTCCGCAGGATGGCCGGGCTTTGGACACTGGGCCGCAGGCGCTGCAGGCCAGGAATGTCACGCGGCATTTCCCAAGCCTCATACAGCTCATGCTGCTCAGAAAAGTTGCTCTGCGAGCACCATGTTGAATGCTGCATGACTTGTGATAGCACTGCTGTTCAGGCACGTTGGCTTTCAATCTTAGTAGTAGGTCCGAAGCCTCTCTCTGTGGTGAGGCGGTCGCGGAAGAAATCCGAAATCAAGGTCCTGCTGTGCTTGATGCCCGGATGAAGGCATTGTGCCGAAGGCATTTGTCGGAGCGCTGGGCCTTTGAGGCGGAACCTTTTTCGGTTTCCTCCCCCAGAGCTGGACATGGCTTTCGTGTCCAAGCACTGGTGACCCATCTGTGAATCTTTCCTAAGTGCGAGAGCTTGATGTCTAGCATCAACATCATCAAAGCATGGAGGATGCAAAGCTCTCTGTACCACGAAAGCTTGAAATGGACTGCTCCATTGCTGTTCATTTGGGGTGTGATGATCCACGGACACCAGGTACGTTCGCCTGACAACAATGAGCCACCCTGGTCCTATAGACAACTACGAGTGCCTCGACTCGTTGGAAGTGAATGCCTGGCAACGTCTCGTGATTGATTCGGGCTATGCACCAGATGTCCAGATGTCCAGGTACCTGTGTCCACACGGACTGCTGGGCTACTCATCAGTTGCCATCTCAGATATCGTGCACCTCATCACAAGATTTCGCTTCCGCAACGCTTGATCATCAGGCCGAAATGGCTGCAGAGCCTTTTGTCCCCATCTCCAGAAAGCTTTCGCAGTCACTGATAGGCGAAGCTTTGCAAAGCTGAACTAAACAAGCAGGCGAGGTCCTCAAGCAAGTCTGACAGGCAAATACCGGGGTGGTCCGGAAATCTCAGCCCTGGATGTGTGCAGCAGGTAGGGGTTGCGTTTTGAGCGGCAGTGCAACGGATGCCACTGCAAAAATGTGTGAGCCGCCAGGTGTCAGACACACATTGCTGCATACAACCAGAGAAAGCAAGCTGAGCCTCTCCCTTGGAGAGGGGTTTGTCTGTGCACGGCTTTGCAGACCATAACGGGCTCTAGACAGCTAGCGGGTACTGTTCTGTTTATATTTTGTTGAGGTTTGATCTGGTGTCAAAGTACGACACGAAGGATGGGTGCGGAGATTTTACTTGCAAAAATCTGACCGCTGTCACATGTAGCCTCGTTGAGAGTTTGCATCATCAGTCAGCATTTGTGTCCCTCGAGCGCTTGTTATCTTGGCATAGACAGGACACTGGAGATGGGCAGGGCTGGTACCTTGTCAACGCGCTTTGGGTGTCGTGGCCGCATCTGACCGGTCAACCTGCATAAGCTGGAGACAATCGCTGTAGAAGTGTTGCAGGTGAATAACTGGAAGCGCTATGTCAAGGGCGAGCCAGTGCACAGTGTGCAGGTGCCGTGCAAGTGTCCATGTCACGTCAATGGCTAAAACTACAGTCATGCCTCAATTCCATGAGTTTGCTAGTAAGGATATGTGTGCCCCTGGGCCAATAACGAATGAGCATCTCTTCGACAAGAACGATCCGCAGAAGCTCCGGAAAAATCTGAGGCCTGGTGTAGCCTGCAGCATTGGTCGGCCTCCATGTCTTTGTGGCTTGCGTCGCTTGCAGGCTGAAGCTGGACTACATCGGAGTAAATGCTCGCGTTTGGTGGCCGGCTTGAGTGATCAGACAACATGACTTCGTGTGATTCCATAGTGCATGAATGGCGGAAGCCATGGGATTCGCAGCCGTTCAGTGAGCTCCTGATAGCAAGATGGCCCGCCAGACTTCATTTCTTCATCTTTTCGCCATCCAAATGAATTTCCTCATAGAGCAGGATTGTCATGGCTGAGGTGGCTCTTCATGCACGTGCACGGCGGTGGTCCAGCCATTGTCCGGGACGAGCTGGAGATCTACTCGAAGGATGTGTTGATATGTCAAACTTTGATTCGGGTTTCCTGCAATAACAAGGATCCTTTTAGTTGACAGACCACATGTTGAGACACGGCCCTTCCGTGGGCAATCTGCTCTGGCAGGAGCTGCCAGTAGAAGCTGACCTAGTGCCTGAAGAGCTGTGCCCGCAAGGCTGGACAGGCAGTGATCGAACTGGCACTGGTAGTGAAATCCGTAGTTAAGGTGGTCACAAAGGTGACGGAAGCAATCTTGGGACAAATTCATGCCATGATGAGCAGAGTAGTGTGCAAAATTGGTGTGGAACTGGCTCAGAACTCAAGTCACGTCCTATAGTTGTGGCTTGCATGTCTGCAAGTGCTGACCAACACCGAGTAATCTTCTGCTGCTAGCAATGTACAAAAAACTCCTGAAGGAGATATTGCTGTCTGGTGCTAGTTGGTATCCGCCTCTCGTGAACATGAGATCGAGACAGGAGAGAGGTTTGGTGTGTGTGCAGTGTTCCCAGATTAAGTCTGGCATCTTTCAATCTCAATCTGTATGCTAGGTGATGATTTCGCCGTGCGGGCCTCCAAGTACCTGGTGGACGAGTGCCATGGCGACCTGGAGTCTCCTGGCTCAGCATCCAGAGTGTCAGCAGCAGCCCCTTCCCGTTGAAACAATTCTGCTGGTTGTAGGTTGTGCATGTTGTGCAGGAAAGTTTCAGGTGTCTTTTTTTTGCATCGTCTTAAGCGTACGAAGGGTCGTGTCTGGTTTCTGTTCTTGCCTGAGCTGTAGAAAGTGCAATTGGGCCGGCACCTTGGGCTGGACTTGGTGTTGGCTCCCACTTGGGGAATAAGGTTTCTGGGTGTGTAGTACTTCCATGTAATGTTTCCACACTCGGGGTCTGCAGTAGATACTTACCATTGCTTCTACAGCTACTATTTGAATTGTTGATTTGCAAAGCAATGTTGGATCAACATTAGTTTTGCTTTATAGAGTATGTTATCTATACATCTACAGCATGTTGTAGCTACAGGCATGATGCTGGCTATTCGCTTATGCTCATGTTACTTTCATTTACTTCAGTTGCATGCCAATCTTGCTTGCATCCTGCAACCTGTCGTTGCAAATCCGGTGGCCTGTTCATAATGGAAGATAGCATTGACAAGCTCGAGTTCCGGCCGCATGGATGAAATCGGACCAAGGCTATGTGCATGCATGCAGGCTTGCTGCCTCGTAACACAATCAAGTGAGACAATGCGCAAGCCGCTGCTGCATTGTCATGTCGTCAGCCTGCCAGTCAGCCTTACAGACACCCTGGCGATATGCCTGAACTTTGCGAAAGGACAACTTCCATTCCTGTTAGGCATTTCTTTGAGGCCACATCAGCAGAATACCCACCTCATTCGTCGTCCCAGATTAACATGAGCGCTGTAACTGCTCAACTTGAGCTGGCAACGTCTGGGAAAGGATGCAACACCGTGGACACACGGTGACGCTATGCAAAGTTGAGTTTAGTGCAGTCAAGGGATAGATGCAGTGGATTCCGGTTCATGAGTCCACTTCACGGAGCTCTGAGGCTCTACAGACGCAAGTATGGAGGCAAGTTGCTTGCAGAAAGGACGCATCTTTTCTGAACGGCTTGAGCTGAAGGAGCTGCTAGCGGTAGCGGTCCCAGTAATTCTGCACCGGAAGCCGAAGCAGGCAGCCGAGTCTGAGGGACAGGGCTCCAGTGTGGTGCTTGAAGTTTGTTGCAGGGAAGAACGCAGAAGCCAGACACGAGTCGCCCTCGCAATCACCCTCGCGGGATTTGTCCGAGGCACTTTTACAAGAATCATTTAAGGTTCTGCCAGTGCCTTGTGCCTTAAAGAGCAGGAAGTGGCAAGGCCAGGCACTTCCCTGGATCATGTTGACGGTTGCATAGATGTTCATCGCAACCATCCAGATGCAAAGGCTGGCCACTGGTGCGGAGGGTGAAGAGCTCCGGTAGCCCACCGAGCCTGCTGTGAGAGGATTCGAGTCGGAGACTGCAATCCTAAGCATAAGCACCGGGGGCGACCCTGCCAGCAAGATGGCAAATTGCAAAGATATGCTAAGTGTATCGAAGTGCATTCAGGCCGCCGGAGCCCAGCCTCGATCCGCACGTTGAAGGTGTTCCAGTCTGCAGCTCAAGAGCTGCGCGGTTGCCGGCAACTCCGGCAACTGTCTTCTGTTGGTGTTCGTGTGATGTTCTATGTGCAGGTCAACTGAGCTGACCGTCGGAAGCGCAACCAAGTTTTTCCAAGAGGCGCCACTCTTCTTAGAGCGTGCGGTGGCCATGGAGGGTCTGCGCGGGCCCTGGATGGCAAGAAGCTTGGAGCGGAACAGCGCTCGACAGCCAGTCTGCGCCAGAGCAAGAGCAGCACAGACGCGATAGACTGTTGGCTTTGAAGCCAAAAAGGAAGGCACTCTTCTTTGTCTGCTGGCTGCCACTGAACAGGTGCAACGGTTTGCCCTCCCTTTGAGCTGCTTTGCTGAGACAACAGCACGCAAAAGAGGAACAGCTTTTCAGCTTGCATGCGGACATGCTCAGCACAGATAGCATACCTCTCAGTCGGCATCGCAACAGATGCAATTGGCACAGCGCAAGAGGCCGCAGAAACAATAGGAAAGATTAAAAGCATGCTCACGGTGCTTAACCCCGCAGCTAGATTGCTAGAAGCAACGTTTTTACGCGCAAGCAGGGGGGCGCTATGCGTTCCTGGAGCAGTGCACCTGTGCGCACATCGACAATCTCTGCGAAGGCCCATCATGAAGTCATTGCCTCGTGCAACATAAGCTTTGATTCTGACATCAGGCGCCAATCCACGAGCAACGGCTTGAAAGGCCCAGCGGAGGCCGGTGAAAACTTTTCATTTTCGCCGTTTTTGCCGCTTAGATTTGGGCTAGGACCGGCTACGAAAGATTTACAACTATTTTTTTGTGTTGAGGTCTCCAGCAGGGCGCCAGGTCAAAGCTAAGCCATCTATCGGCACCTTTGGCCTTGGCTTTGGGCGTCTCGGCAGTTGCAGGTCACAGGAGGTCACTCCGAGCGCGGAACAGGCTCAGAGCATTGAAAGCTCTGAAAGTTGAAGAGCGCTTGGCATTGTCTCCGAAAGCACTTTCCTTCCTCCAATCAGCAGAGGAATCTGCAAGCAAGAGTATCGCACCAGGCAAGGGCGGGAATGCCTCCATTGCTGGGATTCAACGCGCAGAGCAAGTCTGGCAGAACATTAAAGCACGTGCCTGCCAGAAGGCGGCTGGAGATGACCTTGAGCCTCCCAAACAGGTAGTTCGAAATGATCGAAGCGAGGGGGCCAAGTCCTGTCCCGTGGACTCTGGAACGCAAACGTTTGATGTTGTTGTTTGTGGCGGGACGCTTGGCATCCTGATCGCCAGAGCTTTGCAAAACGAAGGATATTCCGTTTGCATTGTGGAGAGAGGTGTCGTCCGGGGCCGAGATCAGGAATGGAATGTTAACTCCCAAGAGCTCGAGCCCCTGATTCGACATGACATCATCAGCAGAGAAGAAGCGTCCCAAGCTTTGCTTTCCAGCTGGCCACGCTCTCGTGTTGGCATGGAGGGGGCTCATGCCGTGGAATTCTACGCTGGTGCCCTGAATGCCGGCGTCTCGCCGAAAGTGTTGGTAGATGCAGCCCGCAGTCGCTTTGAAGCAGCTGGCGGGGTGATATTGGAACGAACAATGCTTGATGCGATAGACATATTTGATGATGGAGCGCTCTTGCAATTGAGCAGCCAGCATGGGCCATCACAGTTGCGCGCTAGGCTTGTTCTTGATGCGATGGGATCAGGCTCGCCAATTGTATCTCAGGCCCGCAAGGGTGCTCCGCCGGATGCAGCTTGTTTAGTGGTTGGGACCATGGCAAGCGGGTACCCAGCTGCAGCCAACACGTCCGGCGATTACCTCTACGCCTGCACGCCCAAAACGAAATCCGGCCATCAAGCTTTCTGGGAAGCTTTCCCGTCTGCCAATGGTGGGACAGATGGAACAGACAGAACAACATACTACTTTACGTACGTACTGCCTGGATTAGAGAACCTCCCATCGATCACAGATGTTTTTGAAGAGTACGTGGAGGCACTGCCTCAGTATCAGCAGGTTCCCTTGGCAGATCTCAAGGCAGGCACTCTATCGAATTTCTTTGCAGTTTTCTTTTCTCCCTTTGCTTGACCTGTCCTGACGCGTCTCTATCTTCGAAGCAGCTGCAGGTTCGCCGCGCTCTGTGTGCAAGCTTTGTGGCCTACAAGGACTCTCCGCTGCCCACGCCCTTCGACCGGGTACTTCCAGTCGGTGATGCGGCGGGCATCCAATCGCCACTTTCATTCGGCGGCTTTGGAGCCTTGTGCCGGCACCTTCCCCGGCTCAGAACGGCCATCTCAGAAGCCTTGGCTCACGATCTGCTCTCGGCCAAGGACTTGAGCCAGATCAACCCATACCTGCCCAATTTGTCGATGCAGTGGACAATGTACCGCTCCATAGCGCAGCCTCCCGAAGAGGAGCCAGAGTTTGTCACCAGAATGATGGGTGGTATCCTGAGTGCTTCATCTCGATGTGGGCCAGAAGTCATGATGCCAATCCTTCAAGATGTCTTCAGCCTGTCAGCCCTGGCCCCAACTCTGGTTTCGTGGATGTCGTGCGACCCAGGCATCATTCCGCTATTCGTGCGAAGCATGGGCACATCAAATGTGGCAGGGGCCTTGAGTCATTTGGGGGCTCTGACCCTCTATACTGGCCTGTCCAAGCTGGAGCCTTTGCTTCGGCCTTATGCGGACTCTCTTCCTGCAGCCGAGCGCTTCGAATGGTCAAGGGCTCAGTCCTGCAAAAGTGTAATAGAATTAGAAACTCTCGGAGTTGCAGTTTAGGCGGCGCTCTGAGTATAGCTAAACAGAAGGCAGCTGCTCCGCTGAGGCATCGTCGATTCGAGGCCTGGAAGTATGGAAGTGGCTTAGACTATGAGCACTAAGCTGGCCTAGCTGCTTCGGCACAGTTCAATGAGAACCTATGACTAACTGCAAGAGGATTATTTCAAGATTTCTGACCAGTTTTCGGAGCTGCGACAGGCAGACTTCCTCTTCTCACTTTTCAGAATTTTCGCAGACGCTCCTTTAAGGCAGCGTGCAGACCAAGGATACAAGCAGATGAAGGAACAAATCAGTGGCCAGGCTGAGCCCCGGGTTAGCAGCCAAACTCTGTGACAAAGTGCGTGGCCCTTCTACACCCTACAAGTGTATCCTAGACATCTTAGCGTGGGATGCAGTGTGCCCCGGCGGAGATTTTGCTTTTCAGTTTGGGCCTCTGCTGCAGTCTAAGCTTGGTCAATACGCCGGCCTAGTTACTTGACCATGCACTTTTTAAGGCATCTTAACTGTGACCAGTTTAAGCAAGAGTGAGGCAGATGCATCGGGAAGCTATTTGTTTCGCACGCTCCAATCCACAGCCTGTGTTGAGGGATGTCAAATGAAGTATGACATGTTTCTTGACACGCTGACAAGCAAACATGCCGTCATCTAATCAATCTGCCGGTTCCAAACATTTCAGAACCTCAGCGTAGACATGCGGGCAGTAGACGCCGTATAGTTTCTGGAAGGCTTGGGTCTTCATGGATAGCATGCGATAAGCATGGACGGTGAACTCCGGCCAAAGGAAGCCGGGCAAGGCTACGTTCTTTTTGCTCTCCGCCTCACGTGGCACAGGGCCGTGGTTCTTGCAGGTTCATTAATGTCTCCGACTTCTTCGAACAGGCCGGGGCTACACCAACTGCAAAACTTATTGAACAGTATGGGTTTTGACTAGTAAGCTTGCTGGACTCCGGAGGGACAGTAGTTCATAGGGCTTTTTTTTGACCCGCATGGTTTCCTTGTTTCAGGACACAGCGATGGCTGATCCAGCTGTGGAGAGTGTGTGCTGCTGACATGCATTCGAAAAGCAAAGCATCGGAGCAGAAAGCATATGGCCTTGCACGATCAGAGGAGTCTTTCTGGATGCCAGGCCTGACAGCCATCACCATCTGGCCATAGCACCTTCAGCGCTGAACTTGGTACAAAGCATCATGAACCACCCACATAGGTAGCACCTGGCAACCGTCGTGAATCTTGAGGTAGCCTCCAGTGATGCCAAAGGCTGCGAAGCCCAGATGCTGTGAGATGGCTCTAAGAGCCAGAGCTCCTGTCTTCGTTGTGACGAAGCTGAGACTGTCGACCTGGACATCCGGCGCAGATTCACTATGAGCAGCTGTCAGGAACCAAGAGTCTTCTACCACAGGGCGTGTTCTGGGAGACGTGTGTGTGTGCAAAGGCTCAGCATTCAGCAGGATCAGCCTTTGCCTTGGATCTGAAGCTTAATGGTTCCATGTGAGGCAGATTGGTGGTCTCTTTGCTTGGGTCTTTGTTTCAAAAGGGTTGTGCAGGGATCCTGGGAGCGGTCCAGACACTGGCAACAAAATCAATTTCTTTGTCACCTGGGCCTTGCCGGAATTCAGGCATTCCCTTGCAATGGAACGGAAGGAGGCTGAGATCGCACATTTGAAGGCCACCTGACGAAATCGCACAGCCTTCTAAATAATGGTCTTGACCATTTTGCATCAGCTCCGGCAGGTCCGTCTCGCAACTCTGGAGGCTGGAAGCTCTTGTCATCCTTTCAGCTGGGCCTTTCGAACCCAATGCAAACTTCAGCCAGGGACACATTGGTCCGCAGGATGCAGTAAAAGCTGCTGTGCAGACAAAGGCTGGATGTTGCCTAGGCCTAGTGTGTGTCCAGCAGACTGCTGAGAGAGCAGGATGAGGAGTGCGCATTGATGATGGCTGCGAAGCACAAGGAGAGGTCAGCGTGAAAAAGTGCTGAGCCCTAAAGCTGTCATTGCTCCAGGAGCTTGAGCTGCTAGTCGATGTCTTGGGGGTCCCACATCATCCACGGTATCAGCACCGATTGCTGTGTTGCCCGCCTAAGGCTACACTTTTGCAGATGCGAGAGCAGCAGATAGAAGAGCTGCGCTCACAATGCGAGGCTGGGCAGCCTACCAAGCATCCTTTTCAGCATCCTCTTGCAGCTCGGATGTGAATCGTGGGATGTGGGATGTGGGATGCAGCTAGGAGTCGCAGCTGCAGCTTACACAACTGCGGCTTTGGAGCGGAAGTGGCAGCTGCAGGCCAATGCACGCATTTGATGCATCACTTAACGTTTTTGCATCTTCCTGAGACTTTACGCTGAGTGACGTTGAGCGACGTTCATTGCATTCCTTGCCGGTTTTTTGACTTTCTTCCGTGTCCGAGGGCATCGCCTGGAAGCTCCACACCGCTTCCTGGCCATCTGGGCCATCCTTCAGGCGAAGGTTTTTTTGGCTTTTGTTGGAGCGGCTTTATGCGTGAAGTTGAAGGCCGGCTGGATGCTGTGGGGCGCTTACGCTGCGGGCTTGGGAAAGGTGCAGGAAAACTGCTGCTAAGGACAGCCAGATGCGCAGAGAAGCCTGATGCTGAGAGCTTTTTTGATGTAAACTCTTGTTGCAGGGGCTCCCGGGCTCAGTGGGGCAGGTGCAGCGGCTCCGACTGCGTATGGAGGACTTGGAGGCCTGGCGTTTGGTGGTGCTGCAAGGCAAAGGGAACCTACACTGCATGAGGCATCGGTCACTGAGCAGCAGGACAGATGTGCCATTCTGGCAGACGAGCTGCATATCAAGTCGGAGCGCGTTGAGGTGCGAATCTAGCATTGGAATCTATTGAAACGTATTTGAACATTGATATCATTTGGCATTTTCGCTATTGGAAGACGAATTCGTTGTGGGCAGAAGTCATCTACGCCATACCCAGAGAGCGAGTCCCCCTGCTACTTGAACAACTTCAAGCGGTCAGTAGCCCTGTGTTCAAGAAGTCTGCTTCTTATGACACGATCTCTGGCGTCACTTGTGCAAGCACACTGCAGAGGAGTTTGAGTCCTGAAGGGCCTGCTTGCAATCGGAGGTACTGGAGAGTCAGATACAGTCCCTCAAGTGGCAGGAGGGGATGCCTGCGACGTATTTCTGGGGCAATAGTGGCATGAAATGCCTTTGAAGGATGGAAGCGCTTTCCATCAAGGACCGGGACGGCGTCGCAGGTGTGATGATTTTGACTGCGCACCTTTTGGCTCGGCAAGGACATCCAGAGGCGACTGTGCAAGATGACATGGCCCCATGAGTGATGGCATCGTGTGCTCCATTTCGCGAATCGCCGTCCTCTGGCAAAGCTGCTCTGGCTCAGCGCCATGGGCGCGTTCTTGGGGATGCCTATCAGAAAAAAGATATAATCGAAAAAAAATACAATCAACAAAATAATCAAACATAAGTCATAGTCAACAACAATTGTTCTACTAGCCAAATGTGGACAGTCACGGGGAGCGTCAGGGTCGGGCTCGCGATCCTCGCAGCTGTCGTCGCTTTTAGA